TCGGCTACTGCTTCCGGAAGTCGACACTCTTCTCTTTCAGTAGGTCAGTCCGAAACTCTGTTCGCCTTCCTGCGTTGTTCCTGACTCTACTAGAACGTTCAGCCTGCCTCGTCGAAAGAAGATTGAATCACTCACTCAAATCCGCCTCAAATACTGACAATTTTACCCCAGATGTGTTCAGCATTCACGGGCTATCTTCCGGTACCCACCACTTGGGCTAGGTCTATTTGTCAGTGTCTGCTATCGCTCAACGCTTCTAAGCCTGCTGTCCTAGATGCTATTCTTTGCCCCAAGACTTGTCCTCGCCATACTTATAGTCTCTTTCTTGTTGCCATCTTTTTCAGGCTTGAAAATGGTCCCGCCTACCCGGTCTTCCCAAGTGTGGCTCGTCACCTGACTAGACCAACTATAGCCCTATCTAGATAATCTCTCTTACTCAAAGTTGTGGAGTAAATGTTGGTCAAATAAATTCTAGATAATCTGGAAGTTATTAGCCTCCAGTTTATTTATGAATTTTTGTTTCAGGCGTCCTCGCGGCATTGGCGACCTGCAAATGTACGTACAACGCGTACTAAGACTTGGACGTTTTTGGTGAAATCCAATTGTATGTCGTTATATCTCGAATGGTTACAGTCAAACATGCCTTTCAAACTATTAATTCACGACTACGTCTAGTCTTGTTGAACTGGCCAAGAACCTATCTGAAAACCTGCTCGATTCTAGTTTCCGTTGAGTATGATTTACCTCAAGTCAGTTTTGTGTTGCCAAAAGAGCTATTTTCTGTAGTTGTCCCAAAGACTGCTTACCTTTGGAATTTGCTTTCACATTGTGACTTTGCGAACTCGTATAATGTTCAATTTTTCAAGACGCGGGTTAAAGTACATTCGTCCAAACCCTAATACCACCTTACAACTTTGCTTTATTCATTCGTTATTTATTTCCCATTTAACAGAGTGTTTTACAGGACAGTCTTCATTTTGAAAAATCCGAAATCTGCTCATACTACCAACAATCCGTGAGTAGCCACAACGAAGGTTGAAAGTCATCCGATGAGTGCTTTTTCCATCTGGGGAGTCACTAGTCGACACATGATCACGTGAAGTGGATCCCACGAGTGAAGGACGAGTGACGTTATGTTCTGTCCACGTGCGAGTCAATCACACTACTTATCAGCCAATCATAGCCGAACGGTTGAATTTTCTATTCAGAAGGTTGAGGCTTCCAGACTCCTCGGAGTTTCGTGAGAAGCGCACTCCTGATGATTCTCCATAAGGCTGCATTGCTTATCGACCTTCCAGAACAGAGTAGCTCCACTAGTCCTACAGGCTTCATAAGAGGTCCCACTCCTAAATTAAGCAATAAAAACGGAATATTGCATTGCGTTTTGCGTTGATCACTGCTGCACTACAGATAGGCGTTCCAGCCAAGCCGTTGACGTGATCGACGTTTGGGTCTCCACGCCGTCGCGGTTTGCGCCAATAAAAGTAACTTCATAAAGGAAACTACTCACAATGTTGTTGAAAACTCTTTGACAGCCGACGACCGGTTTCGCCCTTGTTGGGGCTCATCAGGTAGGCGCAGTCCCCGAGTTTCCGTCAACCTTATCATCCACTTGAACCCAAATTGCACTGTTTTCGAGAAATACACTCATCTGCAAATCAATTTGGTTTTCACGGGAGACTCAATTGAATCTCTCGTTAACGATATTCTGGTAGCTATGATATCTAAGTAGAACATAAGTAAATAAGATGCAAATTAGAGTTTTGCTTCCCTGTTCAGTGGTCTGTAACCGGTCAGTTGGCATTTCCTATTAAATAACTCCGCAGCGAAGGCCTTCTTCCTTTCAGTAGTAGCTTCCTTCATGAAAACATACCGCGGTGTCTCGAATATCGTGCCAACTGAATTATGAGGCGGCCTTTGTGCAGCACATTCATTTGTAGAATATCATAAACGAGAGATTCAGTTGAGTCTCTCGTGAAAACCAAGTTGATTTGCAAATGGGTGTATTCCTCAGAAAAGTAACTTCACTTCATTTTCGGAAAAGTTGGGTGACAATTGGTAGAATGATTGGTGGGCAAAGTCTCGCTTTTGACACAAAAGTTTCGTTAGGCCAAGTGACTAGGTTGGCAGGGGGGTGGTCGAGATTTAAGGAGGAAGGAGACTAGATCAGCTAAGTCATGCAACATCTCTGTTAGGTGTCGACCAAGGGAGTTTGTGTGTTAGGGTGGGTTGCCAAGTGTTAGGCCGATGGGGAAACCTACATGGATTTGGGTCCAGCCGCCCACTGAGAATACCGGTTGGAGCACTTTAGCCGCTGCGTACAAAATATTGTTGCTACACCCGCCTCCAATTTTTAGGTATTGGTACCGCTCTCCATTCTTCTGATAGCTGTTTCACCAAACAGTTGGGCACGAGTAACTGCCACAAGTAAAAGCTATCCAGTCCGATTGAGAAGATGATAAGGTTAGGCCGACGCCATGAAAGTACAACCAACCATTCCGTCGATAGATTTGAGGACTCATTTCCAACTATCCACGCCATTTACACTTTCAGCTTATCCACCTAACCAGTATTTCATAACCAGCTAAAGTTTCAACTACTATCCTAAACTTATTTCCCCAACATTTAAGGAGTTTAAGAGGTTGAAAAACAAACGTCTGTTTCGTTCAAATTCGGAAGCAATTTATGTCCAGGATCGCAACTCTCTCTGCTAGGGAGCACTCTAGGTTTCTTCCAGGAGAGCATCTTCTCATGTCACATGCAAATCAGCGAGCGTTCGCGCCGCGAGTCCTGAAAGCAGGCGACAACTGACAGATATGGATTAGAGTTACTTCAGACTTTTAAGTAGACTTGAGCAACGGAGTTAGAATGGTCTTACCACTGTGTAAAACCCCGTCAAACTTATGAGGTGATCAGCTTTTGTCTAGAGCAGTCTCAGCTGTGAAGCGCATTCAGTTGATGGATAGCGTGAACACGAGGTTCAGGTGGCCCCTGTTTAACACTGCTATAATTTACAAACGAAAGAATTTCTTCAATTTCCTAAGAATAAGATTAGTTGAAACTGGGGAACTAAGTTCGTGTGGTGGAATCCAACAAGAGCAAAGCCAATGGTGAGCTGTCAAAGAGTTTTCAGCAACCTCAAGAGTAGTGTGTTCTGTCAAAAAAGCACACTTGTTACTCCATGCTCTAAAGGTCCCCAGTAGAGTTCAACAATGAGTCGATTAAATGCGAACAAGTCAGTGAGCACACTCCGATCACCAATTGACTAAGATCATGAATTAGCGTCTGAACTAAATTAGTTTGACCCTAGTGAATGTTTCATAGTTGCTGGCCGCATTTTGGCTTGAGAAACTCTCCCATTCTGGCTTTCGCCACACAGATGCAAAGGATACCCACTGACAACTGTGTTTACTCATTTGTAAGGTTAAATTTAAGTTAATTTAAGGTCAATAACAACAACCAGAGCGAGAAAATCCTACCGTAACCTTGAAACGATCCCTCTGCATGCGTGATGTTTATATATTTCCTCCCACAAACATACACTTTCCAAAGAAGGCTTTGAAAATATGTGATGCTTGGTACTGAAAGTCCTCACCTCCTTTGAACTAACCAGAAAGGAACGCGAAATCCGAGCTGGGTAACTGGAAAAACAAGCAGCAGTCGTTTGCCGCATTCCATGTCCTCTGTCTTACACAAATCTCATCACTGTGGTTGGTCTCACAACCATTCGGTTGTCGGATTGGTGAACAATCTGTACTTTAACGTGCACTTTATTGAAAAATAATTCATTGAAACCAGGATAGTGATGATTGGTTGGATTCAAAGGTACCAGTCCCTCAATGTGATACTGTTTGTGGGATTGACGAAAGCTTTTGGCGACCTAACGCCGATACTGACTTTGTTGGATTCATAAGTAAATTTTCATTGATCTCAATAGTTCGTCCGTGATTATACTTCCGCTTATTCAAAGATGGTGTTGATGGAAGAATCAACGGTGTCCCTGACGGTCACCCAACGAGCTAGCCGGTGATGTAACGGTTGGTTAACTATGCTCGGTGAACGTTTCGTTAACCGAAACAGACTATACGATAGAGCTCACCTCACGTATGCATCTGGCCACTGATATGTAACCTAAAACCTCCTTTGAAAGCACACATTGCGAAAGTGTTGAAGACAGGATTCGGCAGACTCCAACTTGAATATATCCAAACTACATGGCTATCCAGCAATGTCGCGGAATATAGGTAGCTCGGGTGCATTGATTGGTTGCTGATCTGTTCACCGAGATCTGCAGTTGAACTGGAAACGTTTCATCACCAATCGAGGTAACATCGTCAGTGCGGGGTTGAGTGACCCACTCGGTGAACAGACCAACAAATAAATGGTTGTCTACTCAAAGAACACTTAACACTGTAAGACCTCCCATTTTGTTCGCCTACTTGGAGGCATTTCACAGCAGAAATTTCCTGAGTACCATTTGCCGCGTTGGGGTACTTCTTGTCGAAACGTGGTCTGTTGTGAGGACCCAATGCACTTCCAGCTTTTCTGCGGTTAGTGTTAGAACAATCCAACCTCGCTGCAGACGTCTTTCTGGAATATGTTCATGTCTCACTTTTACAGCCCAAGCAAGTGGTTTTTAGGCATTCTAGCTTTTGGTACATTGTCCCGTACGACCTCGTCTGATGATGAACGAGTATCACGGACGGCAGAGATTAAGTGCACTGCACGCCCATAACGTCGCCAAGACTTACTACTGCTGGCCTGGTTTCATGTCAGCACCTTGAAACTCCCATGGGGAGACAAGCTAACTGTGATGATTCCCTGTAGAGAAACATCTCATTGAAAAATCGACAATAATTTGAAAGACACAACACAGTTTGAATGCTAGTAATCGCTCTACTCATATAACGTTGAACCGCAGTAGATTTGAACATATATAGATAGACTTATCCGTGACTTATCAACCATAGTATAAACACACATGTTGGGTAAATTTTATACAGCCTGTTTAGGAAATATAGCAGATTACCCAGGAAATGCCAGATGCCCATTTAGATTACCATATTATCCCTAATTAGCCCCAGAACATGCAATCGCCTAGTGACCCATCTGTTACTCCACATCGAATCTGTAAGATTTGGGAATTAGTCACCTCAACGCAATGAGAAAATGTCTACACGTTCTTTTTTGAAGCCAATGCTTTCCTATCGACGTCTTGTCCAGTCGCTGAGTAGCCGCAGCTGTGCACCACGAACTTTATTGCCTGTCTTGTAATTCAGCGTGCCAATACAGTCTTATCCGAAGGCCGGCTTTTCTTCGATCATGTCCGGACGATTCTTACCGAGACTACTTGAATTGCTCCTGATGTTTATTCGGTGCAAGAAACCACCGGCCCATCGCTTAGCAAAAGGTGCTATTACAAAGTAAGGTTACGTCAATCAGTGACCAGGACGTTATCTCAATTCTGTTCCTGTGTGCTTCAGTTCTGCCTTCATAAATATGCCTTCAGTAGTTGATAAACAAAATTTCCTCACCAAACTCATACGACCCCTCGATGCTGGAATGTTCAAAACCTCACAGTGAGGCCTAAAGTCACTGAGAATGAATTGGTGTAAAATATCATTTTCCTTTCGCCCTGGTGATTAAACAAAATATCTATTTCTCCTGAACAATTCCTGAGCTGTTGCGGGCCGATGCCCCTATCGTCTTCAGTAGCCACGTCGCTATTTGCATGTGGCCGATTCCGAAATAACTGTCTTAAAATGACAATGAACACATGAAGGCTTGAGTACAGCTAGAATAGAAAAACAGCTGTCCACAGGCATCCTTAGAAGTTTAGATGGACGGCTACTGATGAACAGCCCGGGACATGTCTAACTAGTAATGTCCTGGACACGAGTTGATCTGGGACACCGGATGCTTCTTCGATCATTGGCTGAACGCTCTGAAACTGGATGTGCATTCAGAAAGACACTATTCTGACCCTGGTAAAGGCAACGAACGGAACTCTGACGTTTCCCGCTCATCTGCTCCTCCTATCCTCAGTCCCAGATCGTTTCTTCATACCCTTTCATTCGTTACACGTGTAATATTAAACGTGTGGCTTCTTCTATATCGACCTGATCCAGCCTGAATCACCTGGACGTCTGTTGCTTCACTTTCCATATTTCTCCTATATTCGCCCCCACTAAGTTTGGTCATTTTCGCGTGCCTTGATATTTGCCAGATTGTCCATTGCCCTGACGGCTAAATCATTTCTCCCAGGATGTCGTTCCTTCTTCATGCTTGACTCGGATCAAGAAATCCGATTAAATATTCGATTTGACTTACTCACCCCCCTTCCAGCCAGCTGATGAATTCCAAAGTAAGAGCAGTTTTAGTTGAAACAACGAGATGTTGATAGAAACATACACGTTGTCGGTATTTCACGGCTGGCTAAAATCATGGGTTCAACCCTTCCTGTATAACAGTCCAATCAGTGGCGTTGTTGCGTTTCAAAACCACTACGGACATTTTATGAGCTCTACACTGGTGACCCTGCGTGTGAAAGTTCCATCCTCTCTGGAGGGAAGACTTTGAAATACGGTCACCAGATAGCATTGACCGTTGTGTAGACGAACCTAGGTAAACAGGAGAAAAATGCATTTTGTGTGAACTATCTGACAAACTTACATTGATTCGATAATTTATCCCGCTGACCACTTGTGAAGAAATTCCTAAAATCTCTGCGTCATCCACGTCGCTGGCTGTGAGTCCCAAAAATGTTGGAATTTGAAGGTTCAGCTGAATTTTGTTGAGAGAATTGGTTAGTTTGAACATAAAAGGCAGACAAAACCTACTAGCGTCTTAAAGGTTTGGATCTCGTCTGCATTTGGAAGATGAAATTCTGTGTACCCCCCAACGAGAGTCTCGGAAGACGGCGAGATGAAGGATAGGGCGAGAAAAATAAAGCAGTTCGACAGCATTGAAGAAAGTGAGCTGAAACGGAAATTCTGTAATTATCCAAGGGAACACGTGACAACTGGACTGATGTTTTTTCATACGAAGCATAAATGCTCACGAGTCACTTCTGCAAACTTTAATGTAATTAAACAAAACTCTGTGGACGAGAAGAGAAGTAAAAACTTATCAAAAGACGTGTAAAACTTAGCAAGAAGAGAATAAAAGATCGTTCAGCTGTAAGACGTCTTCAACTGATAGCTGCCTTGACATCGGATGGAAGCACGAGGGCTGAGCTATTGCCAGGCTCCTCAAGCTTAGATAGGAGCAGTCGGGATGCCGGGGTTGGGATCGAACCATGGACGCTTGGGTTAGCGAACTCGAATATCTACCAGTTTGTTCCCCGATAGAAACCTGACGGTCAACGATGCCCGGACAAAGCTGTAATGTATCGTGCGAAACAGTTAATTGAGCAATTTTTAGAGTTGTAAGGTTGTTTCAACCGAATGTGCCACGCAGGTGCCGCCTCAAATCTAGGTTGGTATGGTGCACGAGTTACTGTGACCTGCCTTCTTGGCACGACACACTAGTCATAAATCTGGTGAAAACCCTTTTACCAACCCACGGCCGATATCGTCTTGTTTAGGAGTCATCAGGTAGGTCGTCGCGGAGTTTCCCTCAGCCGTATTCTCTACTCGAACGTCAGACTGCAAGCACTCAGCTGGTGTAAGCAACACTACTTGTGGGGTCGATGATAACCGTATGACAGCCCATTAGGCTTCAGTAAGTCTACTCACAACTGAAATTCGGATCGTTTTCAGGGAGCAAATGAGGAGAATGGTGTAAAGTCGTTGAGTGCCCGAAAAACACGGGAAACTAAATATTTGAAAAAGATGTTCTGACCAGAAACTGAACAGAAATTCTTTTCCTCATTTTGTTTGACACTAAAACATTTTTGAGCCCCCCAAGGACCATCAAGAAGAATTAATGCAACCAATTAGAGGAGGATACATGTGGATACAATCCTCATATTAAAGGTTTATGGTAAGGATAACAACTCAGGTCGAGCCAGTCGAAGAGCATTCCAGCTGAGATTGCTTAAGAGGCTAACTTTCAAGTACATTAGGGTGCTGCAATTTGGAAGGGAAAGTTTTGAGGATGAAGAACACATCTTGATATCCACCAAAGGGAACCGACCAGGGCAACGCCTCATTATTTTTGATGGCACCGAGTTGTAGACAATGCATCTGAGACCGTTTCATGAGGGGAACCAGGAAAGGGCATGCAGCCGAAGTTCCCGGAGAGAAAGTGCATAATTTATGACCTTGGAAGACATAAGTACTGGCAAGGGAGTCGTGTGAACTTTTGACAAAATCTGTTGAACCGCTTCCTGTTAGCGAAATCAACCTGAATCAGCGTTATGCCCATACCTGATAAGTGAGAGCAGGTATCGAATTGTGCTTTCGCAGCGGAACGTTTGGGTATCCGTCATTGTTTTGCATGCAACATGCACCCTGATGCCAGGAGATTGAGACCACGTCAGATTCAAAGGAGGCCAATCAAATTACGTGAAGACCACTTTTAGAACTACCAGATACTGTTTATATGCTATATAATCACAGGCAGAAGAGGAGCAATTCATCCACTCAACCCTGCACTGACGATGTCACATCGATTAGTGATGAAACGTTTGCAATCCAACTGCCAACTTCGGCGGACAGGCCAACAACCAAACACTGATGCCGTTTTGCTCAGTGACACTCCATTTCCCGGACGTTTTGTTCCTGTTTTTCATTTTAGTTCTGATGGA